AGAGGGACCTTCGAGATTTTGTAATCCAGCCGCGTTCTCAAGCAGGAAAATTTACCATTTCAGACAAGTGGCTGTCCAGCCTCTTTTTAAAAGCCACGAATGGCAGAACACCCACAACATCTGAAGACAAGCCATTCCACTGGTTAATTGTTCTCACTGTTAGGAAATTTCTCCTTAGTTCTAGTCTGGAAGTCTCCTTGATTAGTTTCCATCCATTGGTGCTTTGAAAATAGGTTGATCCTTGAATGGTAAAACTAGAGTTTTCTGTATCTCTTTGCTGCCACCTACCACTCATCTAGAGTTTTGCAGCCTATGGCAGCTCTGCACTGGGGGCTTATTCTCACATTCTTTCAACTGCAGCATGAAGGTACACCACTAAACATTTTTTAAAAATATGTCTACATACCATTGCTTTTGTCTTGTCCCACTTCAACACAGGGATGGGCCTAAATTCATCTTCAGCTAATCTTGGCTTTGTATTTTCTTCTGACACAAGGCTGCCCACATAAATAATCCTTGACCACCAGACCATGTCATCACCACAGGATGCTGTGAACATGCCAAGGTTGTTTTTCCTGCAGGTTAGTGATGCATCACAGCCAGTTGCTTCCATCAATCATTTGTCCTTAACTTGTCCCGCATGAGAACCAGAAGATCTAGACTAGGGGATGGCATGTTAAGATGCAGTGGTATCTTATTGGCCACCCATCTTACCACTGTCTGTGATAAAATGGGCTGCCAATAAATTTAATAAATAATTAAACATGGCTGTGAGGAGTAGCCTTTACCCCTTTATAAAAAATAAACTCTGTTAAGAACTCAGTAAATTATAGTTACATTTGCTTTCAATATAACTTCCCACCTGGCAGTTTGAAAGCATGCAAATGCAAGTGGATTAATAGGTACCACTGGTGGGAAGATAACAGGGCTCCATGCACCTTTTGTGTACGGTCATGCTGGCCACATGAAGTCATCTTCGGATAATGCTGGCTCCCTCAGCCAAGAAACAGAGAGGAGCTCTGTGCCCTAGAGTTGGACACGAGTTATAGGAAACCTTTACCTTTTTGCTTTCACCAAGTATAGTTATACTGACCTCATTTGCTACTTTTAGGCCACCCAATTTCACCAATCTAAATTAGAAGTTTATAATTTCCTCTTCACAATCATGCCAAGGATGAAGGAAAGGAGGAACTCAAAGACCCAAATCTGTTCCATTCATCCTCATTTCCAGAGTCAAATGGTGATTTAGACTAGATTAAATCTAAACTATCCCCCAGATGTTATTTACTATATGCGTGATAAGAACAACGTGTAGTAAAAATTAGGCATATAAGAGAGGGAACCTATAAAACAACCCACTGAAAACTATTAAGCTCAGAGCTTTCTGAAAAGTGTCTTCTTCACTGGACAATCCATCCAAATATACAGACTATTTTGTAGCGTATCTGAGATGATAAGATTAACATTAGGATTATGCAGCACTTTAGATCAGAAGGGGGAAAAGTGCTTCAAAGCATACATAGTGCACATATTGCCTGTTAGCAGCTGCTTAAACTTGCCACAGTTTTCCTTTTGCGGTTGTGCTGCAATGAGGGGTTACGGAGGTGGTTGTATGATTCCAGAAAAAGATATGATTGCTTTCATAAATTGATGTACTATGTGACTCTTCCTACATACTCCAATAAACTCTCTGTGTTTGAATGTAGAGCTCCGTAGCCTTGTAGATAGGCATGGTTTGGAGGATGCAAACCTGAAATCCCACATAACAAAAAGGCAGCAGGATAAAGACTGGTCCTGCATTTAACAGGATGCATTTAATTGGATGCATTTAACGTTAATTTGACGCAACTAATACTTTGACTGACGCAACTAATACTTTGACTGAAAAGTTTCTAGTTACCTTAATTTCATGATGTCTACATACATACAAAAACACATATGTCTAGGAAATAAATTAGGTTGCCAAAGATTTCAGAACGTACTATATGAAATTTGGCAGCAAAAATCATTAAGGAATTTTTCTTTATTTTCTTTTGAAAAGAGAGTTGTAATGGAAATATGAAGCCCCTGAAAGGTAAAATACTCCCTTCTCCATCCTTAACTACACCCTCAGTTCTAATTTAGAAGAACACGCACACACACTAACATCACAGCAAAATGGATTAATATTAGTAATATATTTTAGACCATTTTGGAGAGTATAGAGGTGGTGAAAGGCAGAAATGAGAGGTATTTTCCTGTTGCTGTTCTATCACTCTCCAAAGCCATGAAAAAGAATCTGAATTTTTTCGTTGCAATACCATCCCATTACCAGAAAAAATCCCTATAGCCTTTGAACAGGTTGTTAGGCTGAGTTGTGCCCTTCACACCATTACAAGTTGCCACTCCAGTCAAGTCAGCTTCATTAATATTTTAATGTTCTGATCCAATTTAATTTAATATTCCATGGGATTGTTCCCTTCTCTTATAAGTGAAACAAAATTTTAAAATCTTGCTATTTTTTAAATACAAGATCAAACTCTTTACAAATTTCCCAAACTGGCACTTCCAGATACAGTATATCCAATTATAAATTTTAGTCCCAATCAGCAATATCATTAGTAGATAGTTTGTAACATATCTAGGAGTGTCATATTGGTATGTCCAACCTTTGTTTTGTGTCAGTCTTGTTCTACCAAATAGGCTGAAATGCCACATCTTCTTCTTACTGTACAAATCTCCCTTAATATCCTGCTCAGTAGAGAATAGTAGCATGAGAGAGGACCTTTGGAGACTGTGTAGAATCCCTGTCAGTTAAATAGTTGTGAGAGAGATTGAAGCTTTTCAAGTTCTGAAGAGAAACCACCAAAATAGTTTTCCTATTTCAAGGGTAAGATTGATGACAGGTCTTAGTTAACTGCAAAGAAAATAGCTGCTCATGAAATGTCTTCCTGTAGGTGATAAAAATCCTCATGAAATCCAGTCCTTCTTAAACACTGTCTGTTGATGATTCTGTACATCATCAGTGTAAAGCAATCATTAAATTTTACTAACACTGATTTGCAAAGAAAAGCAGACTTAGATTTTCAAAACTACATCTGATTTTAGTTTATTTGACTCTGCCTGGGAACAAATCTATACCAATAAATGCATGCATTGCCATGTTCTTAACATGTAAATCAAACTGTTTAGAAAATCAAGTTAAAGGAAATAGATTTGTGTTTAAAGAGACATACAGGGATATCTTTTGAAACATTGATAGGAGGAAGGTAGAAGGGTTGTAAAATTTCTCAGGCATGATCTACATTTGCCCAAGATGAAAATATAGCAATTAGATGAGAACACTAGTCCACAATTGACCTTGTACCTATCAGAGTAATATTCCTCTCCAGACATTATTTATTGGGATATCCAGACTCATCAGAGGGTTGTTATAGGCAAAAATGACTAAGAAGACAGGCCACAGAACAGAGATTTCCCACCGGCACACCATCTTATTTAATTAGTCAGTGGCTTAAAAGAAAACGTAGAATCTTTGGAATTGCCCTTGGGCTAAAGCAGAAATAGGAGCCAAGTCCAGTTTTCTTTATTCTACCCATCCCCGTTTTAAAGCATAGATTAGATATGCTTCCGGCTTGTTTTATAGCACATGATTTATGAACTTAGATAAGGAGTACAGTGAAAGCACATTAAGCTTCAGCTTAATAACTGGGGATACCCCCAAAAGAAAGGGGGAAAGCAGATGTAGAAGATGTAGACAAAATTGTCATTCTCGAATTCCTCCCAGAGTGATAAGGGAGACCTCCCAGAGTGAAATACTCTACCCAAACTCTAGTGAGTGAATGTGTGTGTAAATATTTCCATGTATTTCAAGGTTGAATGGAGGCACTGAAAAACAATTCAGAGATTAAACTCTTGGGAAGAAAGCATCACTATACCATATAAGCTTATGAGAAGACCAAGAAGGAAAAGATATTTATCATGAATGCTTGACATACAAAATTCTACAAATAAGGAATGTGAAAACCTGCATCCTGACACCACCGGCAGACAGTTTCCTGTTCCCTAACCAGGCTGAGAAGGGATCTCTTAAGTCAAGGATCCCCAGCTCCACTCACTACATCCCCCCCCCCCCGCTTTGGGGCAAGGCTGAGAGCTTGGAAGTGGGTTGGGCAAAAAGTCACTGTTGCAGCAGGGCTTCAACTGGATTTGTATTTCAAAAGGCTTCTGAATCCCTTTTTAGGATAAGCCCCACCCACCTTCAATTCAGTGGCTGAGATGAGGAATGAGGTAAGTCTTCTCTACTCAACACCCCTAGGGGCCCCAAGCACCTTCAAAGGACTAAGCTTGAGGCCAAGGAAAGCCAGGACAAAACCCCATCCCCTTGAGAGAGCAAAGTGTCCTGGTGATCATCAATGGTTGCAAAAATATCTAAAGTCCTGCGTCTCATAATAGCCACTGTCCACTCCCCAGCCTTTAAGGGGAGAGGTCCTAGAATTCGCTCTTCTGAATCTGTTCCCTCACTTCTGGATGGCACTATCTTAGCACAGAGAAAGCCAAGACATCTCATGGTCTTAGCAAGCAGGTCCACACCCACTTTTCTGCCAGTTACAGGGAAAAGATACTTTTATCCCTCGCTCCACGTCTTGATCCACAGGGTAGGACCTTTAGCCAGCTTCATGCATTTTTTTTCTTCGCAACTCACATTTAGGATTTGTGCCTCCCCCTCCCCCTCCCCCTCGTTAGACCCTCAAGTCTGCGTCTTCCAAATAGTACAGGCCTTTTCCCGACCACCTCGAAGTACCCCACCCATTTTCTTGCACCCAAATATCGGGATAGCAGCTACGCCCACCATCCATTTTTCTGCCTCCCAGTCACTTCCGATTACGATGGGCAGCCCGTTATTCGCCGCCGCGGAGCAAAAAATGCTGCCAGCCACTCCCCGCATCTGAATCCTCCAGACGGGCTGGCCATGGCGTGGTGGCCTCCGTCCGTTGTGCCGCCGAAAGCTCTTTACCCACCTTTGGGCTGGAGACGCCCTCGCCCACGGCCAGGACGATTCCCGCCGCCTCCATGCCAGGGCTAACGGGCGGCGAGGGAAGCCTCTCGTAGAGTCCTTGGCGAGCCAGCAGGTCAGCAAAGTTGAGCCCGCAGGCCCGGACCTGCACGCAGACTTGGCCAGCGCCCGGACTGGGTTCCGCTTGAGGCAGCTGCCGAATCTGCACCTTCACCTTCTCGTAACCACCAAAGCCGGTGAGCACCAATGCCCTGTATTGGCGTCCAGCAGCAGCGGTACTGGTAGAAACGGCAGGCGCCTCCTCCGACGTCTCTCCAGCAGCCTTTCCCTCCCCGTCAGTCGCTGTTGCCTGGGCCACTGCTTCTTCGTTCCGCTGCTGGTCTGCGGGAGGAGCAGCAGTGCTCGTTTGAGGGACTCCTGCATCATCCCCGATAGCTTCTTCCCCGGACATGGCACCTTCTTGAGTACTAGCAGCTGTGGTGTGCCTACACTAGGAAGAGGAGGAGAAGGAGAAGGCGCGGCTGACCAGATGCGCTAAACAGCTGTAGGCCGCCTGCAAAACCCGGAGCTGGATCTAACTTATAGTATGCTGAGTTGAAAAACGCGGAATGGAAAGCAGACTAGATGGCTCCACCTAGAAAGACCTGCCCGCCTGACTTTTCGTCAGTCGATCCAATACGCCCATTCTCTCCTTGTTCAAGAAGAGAGGCGGAGAATAGAGTACGGCTGGGTGTGCCCAGCAGAAACAAAGTGAAGCACATGCTTGTTTTTTCTATAGTCCCCCTGAGCATATTAGAGTTATTCCCAAGTAAAATCGCACATAGCATCGCATTTGTACAACCAGATTTAATGCGTATGTTTTTGGAACGAGACCCTTCGTGTTGAATGAGTCTAACTTCTAAGCAAATACGCATAAAATGGCAACCCTCCTTTATGCATTTCTTCTGAGCTCAGTTTATTCTCCCAAGGAAGCATGCATAGCATCCTCTCTGAGCTTGCTTGTTTTCTTGCAGACATTTCATTATCCTAACTAGGTAACATCATCAATGCTAGTAAGGAGGGCTGTTTGCTGTCAGTTTATAATCTGGTGTCTTGCCTGTCTGGGTGGGTGAGGGCCGTCTTAGGGATTCTTTGGTTGGGCTGTTTGCTAATGGCTCTTTGGCAGTTTCTTGATTGTATTGCTTACTTGACTGCTGGTCTGAAGTTCACCTTGGAACTAATCTATGCTGATCTGAGTGCTAATTGCTGGGTGGAGAGGTGCTGGAGTCTTTTCCTCTTTTGGGATGGTTGTGTGTGAAGAATCCAGAGAAAGAAATATTTTGGGAAATATTAAAAAGGCAGAATATATTTTCCCAAAGGAATAATGGAGAAGATCTTTTAAAAAAAGACAAAAACAAGCCCCCAGAAATCAGCCCAGCCCTAGGCAGTAGCCAGCTTTTAGAAATGCAAATTCAATAATCCTTTCAGAAAGGTTGGAGCCTTCCAGCTAGAAACTGAAGAGGTTAGGAAGACAAAGACCCCTAAAATCTACATACCCCACCCAAAGTCTAAGACAGGACATAATAGGATTAACCAATGCCAAAAGGGCACATTCAGACTCAGGTCAAAGTACATGACACAGGAAATACAAAGCCTCAAACAGGAACAGGAAACAACCTCAAGAGCCCCAGAAAGTATAAAAATCCACCACTCCCTGTTACATGTGATCAGTTTTCCCAGAGCCATCTTCCTGTCTGGCTCTCCTCTTCAATAAACTACAACCTTCTTTCTAAAGCAGTCTCCATTTTGTTTATTCCCAGCTTGGACTGGACCCTGATGAAGATTTTTCTCTCAAGAGTTGATTGTCTCTTTTGCATGGTCTATAGATGTTGTTAATGTCTATTGTGTTTCCCCGAAAATAAGACCCGGTCTTATATATTTTTTTTTTGTGTGTCCAAAAGAGGTACCAGGTTTTATTTTCGGGGGATGTCTTACCTTAGGACAGTGCTTTTTTTCTAAAAAAAAAAAAAAAAAGGTGCCGGAACTCACACACGTCATACAACCTGCCTTGCCTACCCTACAAGGTTCCATCCAAAAAAGGTGCCGGAACTCCGTTCTGGGCGTTCTATGAGAAAAAAAGCCCTGCCTTAGGACCATCACAACCAGGCCTCCCAAGCCCCAACACCTGTCATGCCGCTGCCCGAGTTCTTCTGCGGCTGCTTGTGGCCGCACACCATGTGGTGCATTGCGCTGCTGCCACTGCTCACATTGCAAGGCTTATCAGGTTTGCACCACAATTGGTTCAACGAGCTGCGTGGCCTCCTGCAAGTGGTGGCAACAGCAGGATCAGTGCAACAAGCCTCATGCTGCGATCGGCAGGAACGGCGTGATCAATTTGACAAGCCTCGCGGTGCAAACATCAGCAGCAGCATGATGAGTTTCGTGCTGTGAATTGCAGCAGCAGCATGATGCACCATGTGGTGTGCAGCTGCAAGCGGCCGCAGAAGAACTCAGGCAGCAGCGCAACAGTTGTCAGGGCATGGAAGACCTGGCTGCCAGGTGGTCCTAAGGTAGGTGGGTGAGGGGCCCGTGGGGCAGCTCCATCCTCCCACCTGTGCCCTAGCTTGATTTTTAGGCATGTGCCTCACCCCAGAATTAGGGCTTATTTTTGGGATAGGGCTTATATTAGGCCCATCCCCCAAAAATCAAGATAGGCTTATTTTCGTGGTAGGTCTTACTTCCAGGGAAACATGGTATGCGTCTTTTGATAGCTGATTTGTTAGAGTGCCAGGCTTCTAGAAATTCCCTGGCATTTTTGGACTGGGCCTGGTCTAGGATTGTCACATTTTCCCAGTTTAAACCATGTTAAATCTGTCTATATGTTGTGAAATTAAAGAATTTTCGTCATGCCTTTTGATCACCAATTGGTGTTCATGGATGTGTTCTGCCAGTCTTCTGCCTGTTTGTCTACATAGTGGTTGCTGCAGTTCTTACAGTGTATGTTGTAGATGACTCCAGGTTTTCCTTCTTGGGTTCCTGGGTTTTTTTCTTTCTAATTTTTTTCAGAACAGATCAGGAGTATAGCAAATGATAAATGTAAATTTGCATTGTTAGTGTCCAAAGGTTCAGATACAAGTTTTACTAGCCCAAGTTGAATTTGGGAGCTATATGTAAAAGCATGAACTTACAGTGGCTCAGTTCGCAAATCATGTGATTGATTATAATCACGATTGGTTTGGCAAACCATAGAGATATGGCTCATACATTAACACTAAGTCATAAATAATGGTTTACTTAAAATGACAAACTGCAGCTAACTTTGATATGCAAAGGCCATACATGAGGCCATACTTGTCTGAGTCCATACATAGTGCTATGCCACACACCAGTCGGCCATTGAGTTTGGCCATTACACCATCTACCACTACTATCGACCACTAGGTCAACTAGTAGCAACATTTCAGGTTTCTAGGATTGAGAATTCCAGCCCTTCCTGAAAATCCTGACAATTGTCACTGGGGCTTTTTGCATGTAGAGAAATTCTGTGTGATTTTCTTTCCTTAACACTCTAATCCCGACTTCCGGTTTGAATTCCTGTGCCGATGGCAGCTATTCTTTTGGCTGCCTGCCCCGAGGACGCGTAAAAGCCGCAGGAGCAGCGTCAAACAGCTGCTCCGCGGCTTGGAATCCCCTTCCCCGGGCAAAGGGGAGGGGGGAGAGTTTCCCTGATAGGGGTAGAACTCCCGAGCTCTCACAGTTTTATAGCTGTGGGGGT